GATGAGCTCTTTTTGGCCATTTTTCTGCTCCCTCCTTTCTCATGCAGCGGTGACAGAGCCCATTTGGAGCRAGGAAACATTTGCTGAGCTGCTCAGTTCTGGGGAATTGGAGTCATTAGTCAGAGGGTGGGAGGRGGCCGGGGTGGGGGGCTGATGTGATGGGAGGTGACAGCACTGGCAGGGAATCCTTCTGCCCTGTGCTCTGCTCAACATTTGCATAAATTACTGCAGTGTTAATTCCTCCTGCTTTTGGCTCTGCTCCACAAGGCCCTGCCTGGCAGGGGCTCAGCTCACCTGTGGGTCCCCAAAAATGTATGAATGGGCTCTCCCTCCTTCCTGTGGGGCTGACAGGTGAAGTCCTTCCCCTCCTCAGTGTCCCTGCTGCAGGGACAGTGGATTTGGGAGCTGGCAGGTGGGGAGGGGAGCAGCTGACTGTTTCACATTCCGATATTTTCTGTTTGTATTTCAGGCATTACTGTGCCATAAATAAGCCAACTGAGTGCTGCCAAGGGGGTCAGATTCCCTGAGGTGTCCTGGAGTCAGAAATGCCTGGGTTGGTGTCTCTGTGTGCAGCCCATCACAGCCTGCCCTGGAACCATGCAGGACTGAGTCCTGATGTGATTCCTGATCCCAGAAAATCCATCCTTTGCCTCRTGSCCACAGCACTYTGTGTGTGGGGCGTYTCTCTTTTAGGAGATTTTTGTCCTRTGTGATTTGGGATTGTRAAATGACCTTCAGGAAAGMAAARCCCGTGTCCCAAGTGCTTAGTGCTGGCTTAGGGAGTTCATCTGTTGTGCTGAGAAGCTCCCAGGCCTCTCCTTGTGCTTCTGGAAGGATTCTTGGGATGTTTTGAGACCCCTGGTTGSCCTCAGGAGAGGAGCCTGGCACATTCTGGAGCAGCCTGTGTGGTCCAGCTGATTCTGTGCACCTTCAGCTCTGTGATGGTGAAGGAGCCTCCAACCCCACCCTGTTTGCTTTCACCTGCAGGCCCAGGAGCTGGAAGAAGAGGAAAAAGACCCAAGCAAAGCCAGYGTGGAGGAAGAGCAAAGCAAAGGAGCAGCAGCTGCAGAGAGGTACGGTCTAAACTGAGCCCCAGGGAGCAGCTCCAGCTCCTGCTGCCCCTCCTGCCCTGTGCTCCCCTCCCTGCTCACTGCAGCCTCTCCAGGGTGATCTCTACAACCCCCTCCAAGTGCTGCAGCTTCTCTCAGGAGCATTCCCAGTGAATCTCTTGCTCCTCCTGCTCCTCCTTAGTCCTGGCTCAGCTCCTGGCTGGATGGAAATGCCTGTTCCCCATTCCCCTGGGGCTGTCCCCCTGTGCCTGTGGCCTCTGACAGCTCCTGCTGCTCTCAGACACTGCAGGAGTCGGGCTCTAAATGCCTGGGCTGGCCATGGGTGAGATGTGGCCACTGGCCATTGATCCAGCCTTACTGGTCCTGCTGGGCTGAGTCTGTAGCTGAAGGCTCTCAGGTGTCYATTCCTGGTGCCAGGACAGTCCAGCTGTGCTGGGAGCAGTTTTTCTCCTTGCCCAGTGTGAGCATTCAGCTGTTTTATGTGCTGCTGTCCCTAGAAGAATTCTGGCTCCCAGACCCTCAGCTCCACAAGCACTGGGCTGTCCAGGGGAGCTGTTTTCAGGCTGCTTGTGGGGATTTGTCTGAAGCAGTTGGGATGCTGTTCAGAGCCCTGTGCTCCCTGGAGCCTCTCCACCTTGGAGAGCCCCAGCCTGGCATTTACAGATGAGTTTTGTCAAAGCT